CAAAAACGAACAAAGTAAGTTCGTTCTCGTTCGAGAGCCATCGTTAAATAGAAAGTGTTGGATTTTTTCTGCTCCCAAGAGAGCTCCCGCTCGAATTCGAGCGAGTTTCTCACTTCATTCGAATTCATGCAACTATTTCTGGGGTCTGCTCCCTGTGAAAGACTTAACATTGGAATATAGTTAATCCTGAATGTTAGTTTTTAGAAATTCAGATTTTAGCGGAACTTTGGTCGGTGTCACCTTCTTACACCCCACTGTGCCATCTTTATGTCCATTCCTTTGTTTGTACTGACTCTTCTTCCTTAGTTTTTTCCCATATTTTTCTTTTCATATTTTTGTTCCTGCTTAAATATGTCCACACACGAACACACGCCAAAGTAGTAGTAGTAGTTTTTCCAAAGTGTGAGATGTCTCAAATTCACGGCAAAATCTCCGGAGGGGTGGCTCAGAGAGGAAGCACATTCATGTTTTCGTTGCATGTTTTCTCGTTTTCGTGTTTGCTTTTTCTTATTCTTCTTCTTCTTTTGCTTGGCCTGGTGGCATGCAACATACCAATAGCCTAACAGTAGAAAACAGCATTAGATATTGATAGGCACGCAGGCAGACAGACAGACCCTGAACGCAATACGGCTTTTAGAGCATGTGTGCCCCTTTTGCAAATGGTATTAGTGGTTTTGACCAAAAATCAAAAGCAAAAAATGTGCGCAAATGGATTGAAAATGACACATGCCTAAACTAAGGTTTTTTTTTTTTTTTTTTTTTAAATTTTTTGAGATAGTGTATGTAGGTGCGTAGATAAATGCTATTTCGAAATGTAAACTAATGGGAACTTATGGCTGGAATTCGAATTGGAAAAATTAAATTTTGAGGAGCATGAGTGTTTGGTGTCAGATTTCATATGAGAGAAAATCCGATGGAATTTGAGGCACAACTATTATCAGCAAAAAAAAAACTGTAAGCAACTGCTAAGAAATAATAGAAATCAATCGAATTTTTCGAATTTCACAATCTGCCGAATTTTTCAAATGATAATGACTAATTACCTTTTTGCTCTAATATGTTGTTGAAAAATTGTACAATTCCCCCAAATCTGATATATGCAATTAAAAATTATGACAAAATAGTTGGCTTCGATCACAAATTTTCAATGTCAGCCCGCAACTATTTTCTACTTACACTTTCTCTTGTCATTCTAAAGATTAGAATGCCACCTTTTACTTCTTACATCATAATTCTATTTAAGTCTTCCAAGACACAAAACGCCACTAATCACCATGGTGGCTCAAGTTCAATTACCCACAATTTATATAAATGACAGATATGTTTGTACGACTTTTCAAAATTCGTAACAAGTTTGTTCACCTCTGTTCTATCTCCCTCTCTTTCTCTCTCTCACACACACCCTTCACTTATTCGACAAAAGAAGAAAGCCAAAAGAATTATTATTTTAAATGTTTAATTCGTTGTTGCAAACAGGCAACAAGTGCCCTCAAGTGTCGCCGGCATAAATGACTCGCTGAAATGCTTCACATAAAAAACGCGAACGTAATGGTAGTTTTGTTGTTGTTTTCACCAAAAAGAATGCGTGCTTGAAATGTTAACGAAAAAATTAAATTTCTTGTATTGTTCTGGGCCCGTCGAATTCACGTGTTTATTTTACCGTTCTTTTTCGGCCTTTTGAAGAGTCATCAAGAAATTTTGTTTTTAAGCAGGAAATCCTCTTATTTGCCAAACACTTTGAGAATAGAAGAAGTCTTAGGTTCTGTTTTCAAAAGGAGAATAGCAATTGTTTTAAAGTCTTGCTTAGAGAGTGGCGAAACAAAAGAATTTAAAGAGTCGCATGCTTCTCAGCATTACTAATCGGGCAATGACGAATAAAGTGATAGAGAGTCTTTGGTGATAAATAAGGAATTTGGAAGCTATCTATAGAATTTCAATGCTCCATATGAAATCTGGCGAAATATAGCTGATGCATTACAGTTTCCTTTGAAATCAGGGATTATTCTTATACAGAGATTACACAAAAAAGTGGACCGATATAAGCCATTTTTTTACCAACAATTCTTGAAATTCTCGATATAAAATTTTGCGAATTATAACTTCAAATATTGACGTCCCTTTGTATATGATTAAGACTATATAAGGTTTATATAAAAACCTTAAAATTTTATCAATCCTTTGGGATTTGATTCACAAAACTTCTATTTTCAAATCCACATCGAATACCCACAACCTCTAATGGCTATGGGACAGTAAAATTATAAGAAATTTCAACAAATTCAAGAGTGATGATGATTTTTTATGGTAAAAATCAAGTATGCAATTTTTTTTTTTGCTCAGAGACTGACAGTGGAATTTTGTATAGAATATTTCGATCCTTTGACAATTTTTCCCAAAAATTTAGTACTAAAGGATATTTGGGATTAGAGCCGAAATGTGTTAAATTAGTAGTAAAAAATTGAACAAATAATTGTCACTCATATTATATGAAATTCTAATGACATTTTCTTAAAAATTATCATTCCTAGATGTATGGTTTCTTCCGAGATTTATATTGAAATTTTGCATAGAATATTTCCTCCTTTGACACATTCTGAAAATCCACGTCCTTCATAGGCCTTGGAAAAATATTTTAAAAATTACAAAAAATCTTATCGGCCTTGCAAAAAAAAAATAGAAAAAATATTTTTAAATGCCTTAAAAAATATTTTTTAAAAAATCCACGTCATTTATAGGCCTTGAAAAACATATTTTTAAACAATGCATGTCCTTTAAATGCCTTGAAAAATATTTTTAAAAAATCCACGTCTTTATAAGCCTTGAAAAAATATTTTTAAACAACCCACATCCTTGAAACATATTTTTAAAAAATTCAAGTCCTTAATAGGCCTTGAAGAAATATTTTTAAAAAATTCAAATCCTTAATAGGCCTTGAAGAAATATTTTTAAATAATCCACGTCGTTTATAGGCCTTGAAAAAATATTTGAAAAAATCCACGTCCTTAAAAGGCCGTGAAAAAATATTTTTAAATAATCCACATCGTTTATAGGCCTTGAAAAAATATTTTTAAACAACCCACATCCTTTATAGGCCTTAAAAAAATATTTTTAAAAATTCCACGTTCTTTATAGTACTTAAAAAAACATTTTTAAAAAATCCTCGTCCTTAATAGGCCCTGAAAAAATATTTTTAAAAAATCCACGTCCTTTATAGGCCATGAAAGAATATTATTTTAAAAAATCCAATTACTTCATAGGCCATGAAAAAAATATTTTTTTTTAAAAATCCACATCTTTCATAGGCTTTGAAAATGTTTATTTAAAAATCCACATCATTTATAGGCTGTGAAAATATTTTTAAAAAATTACATTAAAAGGATATTTTTAACTAATCCACGTCCTTTTTAGACAATGAACAGATCTACGTACTTTATAGACCATGAAAATCCGCGTACTTTATCGGATATACTTTATACTTATTTTTTTTTAAACCCACCTCCTTCATAGCCTTTGAAATTTTCTATCTAAAAAATCCACATTTTTTATAGGCCTTGAAGAAATATTTTTTTTTAAATAATTATATTTTTATAATATTTTTAACAAATCCACGTACTTAATAGGCCATGTCTAAACTGTTGGTTATTCCTAGTAAAATTTCTTCTGTTCTGGATTCCCAGCTACAAATCGAATTTAAAATCTTCATTTAAATAAAGGGCCGGATAAATAAAGAATTGAACCAAGGATTAAAGCTGAGATTTTAAATATATATATATATATATATATATATATATATATATATATATATATATATATATATATATATATATATATATATATATATATATATATATATATATATATATATATATATATATATTTAGCTAATATTTCATAGTATGCCTTTGCATAATTTGCAAATGTCCATTTGTCCAGAACCAAATACAGATTCCCCCCACCTCTTCTTCCTATCTTTAAATAACTATTTCCCTTTGGCCAAGAGAGAAAAAAATGTCGCCAACATATTAGTGTCTCATTTAATGTTGTAGCTGATAAATCAAAGCTTTCTTTCTATGCAGTTTACAAAGAATATTTGACATCTAGAAATTCTTCATTTTGTCTAGAAGCCAGCTTGCAGACTGCAATCCTACATACGCTCACACACATTCGCGACTTGACTCCTTTTCATTTGCTTTGGCCCTTTGATTTATACACACTTGTTATGCTTATAATGCATAGAATATCAATTTACGCAATGCTCGAGGAAGGAAGGCTTTTTTCTGCTAAGAGCGTGTAGAAAAAAGACTTGAAGACTTTTTCCACCACTACTTCAACTAACAAAGCAACAAACAGACAACAAGTCAATCCTTTGGCCGGCATGGCCAACATACCAACGTCCAGGCATATGGTTCTTGTTATTCGGCCACAAATTCAGACGTTTGTCCATTCTTTGTTTTTAGACCAGACTGGACAGTCGTCAGTCTTTTCACGTCTGTTTTTTTTATTTTTCAAATAAAAGCCGCCAATTTTATGGCGCCCTTTTATGCGTTGTTGTTTTTTCTCCTAGAATATTTTCGCAAGCCCAAGCATATATGTGTGCTGGGAAGTGTGTTTCCGTCCACCGCAGTGACAGTTTGACATTGAAAAAGTGTAATTAATTAGTCATAGTTAGACACTGCTATCAATTAAGTTTGTAACTGATTTGAGGGAATTCTTTTTTCTCAAGCTTTGGCTAAGCATTCTGCAGAATAGGTGACCATGAAGGACGCCCGAAGCAAGCTTGTCAAAAGATAAAGTAGAGAATTTATAAATACCTTTAACAATGCTCAACGAATGATGTCAAATAAAGTAGATATTTAAAATAGGACGCAAGATGAAGAGGAATGAAATTGAAGAGCGGCAGGGCTTTTCCTTCTGTTTGACTAATTTTATCTGTATTTAATTATTTGTGCATAACGATTTATTAATAATTTTTTTCTTCTTCTTCTTTCTTTTCTTTACAGCAAAAATGAAAATATTTTTGCCACTAGTCACGTGGACAGTACTAATACTTTCGAGTACGGTAAGTGTACAAAAATTATGAAATTTTACTGATTTATTTAATATTTGTGTTCATCTAAGTCCACTTAAGATTTAAAACTTCAATTATTTGGATAAATATTCAGCAAGATGGCTTCAGAATTAAGGAGTATAATATTCAATTTTTTCAGATTTTGGTTTATAATTAGAATTTTGGATTTTCGTTGTTTTTCAGTTGGATATTTTGAAAAAAGAAAATTAATTTTATAAAAGTCAGAAAAAAATAAAATAATAGTTCGGCACTGATTTTCTAATTTTCTAACATTTTTAAAAAATGCTCTTCGTCACCAACATTCAGTAACTTTTGAAGAAAATGAGATAACTCCGTACACCTTTTTTAAGTTTGGCGTTATAACAGGATTTCCTGATTTTTGAAAAATTATGTTCGGTTTTAAACTGAAGCATTTTCAATATTTTCCTATAGAAGAGTCAACTTTATCAAAAAAGCTTTATTAGAAGAGGCAACTTTTTAAAAATAGTTTTTCTGGCCAAAATTTAGTAACTTTTGTTAAATGTTGTGTCATAGTGCTGATTTTTTCATAAGTTATATAATAAAAATCAGAAAAAATATTCACCTTCAATTTGAAGAATTTTACACATTTTCCCATAGCAATATTCTTCCAAATTATTTGCCCAAAATTCGAGAACTTTCGAAATGATAACGGTTTTTTGAGTTGCTCATTTTGAAAAAAAAAATACTAAAATATTCTAGACAATTAAAAAAAAAAACAAAAAAATGCCTTAAGACAGAAATATATAACTAAATCGTATTGTGTTAGTAATTGATGTTCTCTGGAATTCAGGAACCTATTTTTTTGCTGCACACTTCATGAGAAACCTAACGTCGTACCAAGGTTTTTATGTAATAACGGTCCCTATATGTGAATTGGTTTATGAGTTACAGCTGTTTTAGTGAACACTGCACTCATTTCGGAACATATATTTTATAAATGAAGAACCAACAACACCAAGACTAAACGGCTGAAGTTAGAATTTTGAAATCTTGGTTGAGGGTCAACCTTGAAACGAAAGTATGACATGAATTTGGGTTTTTTGAAATCTGCACTCAAAGGGTACTAAAGGTACCAAAACGTGGTACTAATTAATATTCAGTGATTGAGAAACGATAGACATTTGAATTTTTGTAGATAAGATATTCAACGATTCACAAAAAGGAGTACGGAAAACATTTTGGAAATTCGTACTAGAAGGGTACGAAAAGTTAAATATTATACCAATTGTGTTGGGCAAAAAGACAGAATTGGAATTCTGAAATTTGGAATGGCAGCTCACTAGTGGAGTATAGCATAAATAAACCAAAGTGTTGTTAAAAGCTAGCGGAAATATGAAATTGGAAACTCGTACTGTGTAAAGTGTGCGAAAAGTATCAAATGGTACTAAATTTACTATCGAATGTGGGAAAAGAGCTACAATTTAGCATTTTGGAATAAGGATCACTGTGAATATATGGTCTTTAGAAAAGCAAAGCAGAAGGATTTGGAAATGCTTACTTTAACGAGTGCTAAAAGTACCAAATGGTACTAAATTTTGTTAAAGAGAGTAGGAATAGAGGTGAAATTATGAAATTTACTAAAATTATCACAGTGGGGGCGAAGGTCGTACACAATTCGTTGATTGTGGAAATGCGTAATGTATAGCGTACGGAAAGTACCAAAATAGGTATAGAGTGCAGGAACAGAGATGGAATCACGACTTTCGGTATCAGAGTGTGTAGGATTAAGACTATGAGACGTGTATGGCAATGTGGACTTTAAGTACACGAAAAGTATTTAATGCGGAATGTGAGAATTGTGGCATTTGTACGGGAGTAACCTAAACGTATGATCCGATATTGTCCATTTTACCACCTAGCCTTAGTCTGATAAAAATATTTTCCAGAAGGGGAAGGAATGGACTTAATTGAATCGATGAATAATTTTTCAGTTTATAGGATTCACGATTACTTAAAATTAGGACTCTTTTCAAGGTGAGCAGTATCAGAAGTGGTGGTCCTATGTTATAGAAACACGCCCTTCCTCTAATCTCTACGAGATATTTGATTTTTTGACATATTTATGAGAGGCACAGGAAGCAATGACCCAATATTGTTCATTCTTCTACTTCATAAAAATATTTTCTTATTTTTTTATTGGTACTACCGAATTCCATAATAACGAGGAAAGTCGAATTCTTAATTTGGTTTAATAGTCAACTTTTTGATAACCTAATTAATGCTAGCACATTTCATAATGCAAAACAAAAATCTAATTTTAGATCGAGATCTAAAAACTTCCCCATTCCAATTCATGAATACAAAATTCAGATTAATTTGTGATGGAATCGAAACCCCTTTGGAATTTAAATAAAAAACTCTTTCCAAAGCTTTCCTGATCTTGTTCTTTGAAATCGCTCACTCTTCAGGGCCAACAAAAAAATGTAATCCAATTAAAAAAATGGTTGAAGCCTAGCCAAAAAATTAATTGGCATCTTGTGAACAAATAAATCATTTGTTTTATAAGATAGCAAGAAAAAGCACGATGATGCTTTAATAAGCCAAACAAATCTTGGAGAAAAGCCTTTAATAGTTAAAAATAATAAAACACCAACTCACCACCACCAGGTGAACAATATAAATCACTAACCTGGCGATTTTTATGACTCTCCAAAAAGAAACGTTTTTGGAAAGAAGTGAAAGAAGCAGGGAACTAATGTCAATAAACTCTGATCTGCTGGCTAGCTGGCAAACAAAAGAAATAGGTTTATGTTGTAAAGCTTAGATGGCTTACAATTGTTGGCATTTCTCTCTCACACAGACACACACAGAAACACACTCTATTGCCAAAAGAAAGGTTTATTGGCTTAAAGTTCAAAAACATTTGTAGTTCTTAGACTTTTACCATGGTTTCTTAGCAATATTTTTTGGTTTATTGATGACTCTCCAAAAATTCTGCTTTCAACATTCCTAATATTAGAAGTTCATTGGATTGCAAAAGAAAAAGAATCGGGCAAGGTATTTGAGGTTTGAAGGCATTAACAAAATAGTTGACAAATTAATGCTGTGAAAGAATAATGTGCTGAAAAAACCCCAAGGAGGTATGTAGTCATATTTACCAGCACTATAACTGTAGTATTACACAGGACAACAAAATTCAAAACTTTTGCAATAATTACAGCAGAATTCCACAAGATTATGAAAGTAGAGATAGAAATAGCATTTTGAATCAAATTTTAGAATAAGTTTGGATTTGTTCGAATTGTTCACCTTTGACACGAATTATGGTCTTCAAATGGTCACTGAAACCGTCACACGCTGCCCGAATGCTGCTCTGCGGTATTTTGGCCCATTCCCGGCGAAGCGCTTGCTTGAGGTGATCGACACTTTGATATTTTTTAGTGCCAACCTTGCTTTCCAAAATACTCCAAACACAATAGTCCAACGAATTGGTATCCGGAGATTTTGATGGCCATTGTGAGCTGTAAATGAAGAGAGGGACCTAATTTGGTAACCATTCTTGGTGGCGCGTGCTGAGTGCGACGGTGCTGAGTCCTATTGGAATGTCCAAGGTCTGCGGCCAATATGTTTGCGTGCCCAAGGCTTTAATACACCCTCCAGAATATTTTCGCGATAATATTCGGCATATATTCTGATGCTACGGTCGATTAATACGAGCTGAGAGCGACCATAGGCTGTTATGACGGCCCATACCATCATCATGGCCGACGCTAGAGTTCACAAATCACACTATCACGCTTGAATTCCATCGCGAATAAATGGAATTTTTTTCTGGAAAATTCTTACAAAAATGCTTTTGTAGGCTTCTAAACAATATAATGAGCTATCACTAGAATGATTTTAACAGCTGTCGGACGAGTGGCTTGGAAATGATAGTAGTCTGAAGTTGGTTGCAGTTTTTTCATATCACCCCGGATATAGCCTTTACCGTATAGAAAGAGTCGCCAATATATGGAAATATATTTTACAACTTCTAATATGAATTTTTCGAAATTTATAAAGTGCTTCGGATTACCTCAGAAATCATTGGTTTAAAAAATGGCTGATATCAATCTGTTTATTGGTATAGTCCCTAAGAGTGTAGCCCTAGGTGTTCGAAATCAGCGGAGATTCGAAGTTTTGATGCTGTTAAGCCATTTTCCGTTAGTATTGGAATTGTTATCGAGCATACACTATTTTTTGAAAGGGATTCTATACGGGTGCATTCAAAAATATTTTTCAATGCTTTCTTTTCCTGATATGAAAGAGGAGTTCTCGTTTACATGTGTTTATTTATTATTACTATTTTATATTTATTATTATTATTATTATTATTATTATTATTATTATTATTATTATTATTATTATTATTATTATTATTATTATTATTATTATTATTATTATTATTATTATTATTATTATTATTATTATTATTATTATTATTATTATTATTATTATTATTGTTATTATTATTATTATTATTATTATTATTGTTATTATTATTATTATTATTATTATTATTATTATTATTATTATTATTATTATTATTATTATTATTATTATTATTATATTATTATTATTATTATTATTATTATTATTATTATTATTATTTATTATTATATATTATTATTATTATTTTTGAAAGGGATCTATACGGGTGCATTCAAAAATATTTTTCAATGCTTTCTTTTCCTGATATGAAAGAGAGTTCTCGTTTACATGTGGTTTATTTATTATTACTATTTTATATATTATTATTATTATTATTATTATTATTTATTATTATTAGTATTATTATTATTATTATTATTATTATTATTATTATTATTATTATTATTATTATTATATTATTATTATTATATTATTATTATTATTTATTATTATTATTATATTAATTATTATAGTATTATTTTAGTATTAATATTATTATTATTATTATTATTATTATTATATATTATTATTATTATTATTATTATTATATTATTATTATT